TGTTTAATTAATATATTTAAACATTCAACATTATTTTCCATACATGCCCAATGTAATGGTGTATGTCCATATTTATCAATTATATTAACATAAATATTAAAACAATTATCAAATTCATTTAAAATATATGATAATAATTTATCATAACCACGTAAGGCACAAATATGTAATAAACTAGTTCCATTATTATCGATCATTTGATTTATATCTAATTTATCTTTTTTAATATTTAATAATAATTCTTTGATTTCTGTTTCATTATTATAACATGATTTTAACCACTCATTTTCAATAGTGACTTGTTCTTCTTCGCTATCAACTAAATCCAATGACATTTTACGAAAAGAAATCTATTTGAAAAACTTTGGATTACAAGAATATTATAATTAGAATTTCATGTTTATGTAAATAAAATCAATAAAATAAATAGATCAGATAGATTTCTTTGACGCTTTTTCTAGTAAAATATCGAGGTTTTGGTATAGGCAGGATACATCAAAATTACAATACGTCACTCAATAAGATCTAATGGTTGAATACAGCTTAAGGATAACTATATCTAGTTTAAAAGTATGCTATAAAAACGATGTGAATACGGCATGTAAACAGTAGTGTGCGTGCCGTATTATTCAACCTGAAGTATATCTAACAGTGATTTACTAGTACAAAAATAAGTTGTGTAATTGCTTCTAACAACTAGAAAAACGGTTAAAGAAATATTTGATTCTGCGCACGTTTTTTTTTGCAAACATTTGTAATATCAAGAAAGACGAAAAATAATTTTTTTTTTAAATAAGCGAATACTGGATAAAAATACTTTTCTTGCGCATATTCTAAAATTGAAAAAAACAGTGCGTCTATAGTTGCTTTCATCACGATTGATATCTTTTTTTTTTTTTTTTTTACTTCATTATATCTTACATGGTTACGAGAACGAAAGAAAAAAATTAGATTCCTCTACTTATTGTATAGATGTCAATCCGGCGAATGTGTTGATGTTTTTTTTTATTTCTTTTTTGTTACGTTTTTATCGGTACTGTGCAAACACTATTATACACACGATAATCACGAAAATGAAAAAGTAAAAAAATAAAAGAAAAAGAGTTTGATTATTTATATTATTTTCCAGG